CTCCCTCTCTCTGCCTCTGTCCAACACGCTCAATGTCTGTCCGTCTCTTATTTAAATAAATAAATAAATAAATAAATAAATAAATAAATAAACAAACAAACAAATAAATAAATAAATAAATAAATAAAGTAGAAGAAAATGACCACAGAGCTCACCGAGTGAAGGACCCACAGTTTCTAAGCATGTCTACAAAGGCAACTCCGATGAAACCGTCTACGTTCAGGATAAGATTTGGTTTCTGGGAAGGCAAAAAATGCAAAGCACTTCTCATCATTTCTCATTTTTTCTTTGTAATTTTCCACAATTACTACTAGTAATAGAACTACAAATTCTGACCACAATTTAAAAACCTCCCACCAAAACATCATAGCTGGTTAGGAAAGAAAGAGTCAGTTCAATTCCCAATATCTAGCAAAGGACCCAACACCTAGTTGACAGTATGTATTTGTTGAACTTAGTAGTACAACAGAAATAAAATTTCCCAGAACACCAGATTTGATTTTGGCTGCACAATCAGAAGCTAGGCTGGCTCTTGTTTTCCCCAAGAAATTCACCCACAACAATGAGTTGGAAATTAGGGATATTTTCTCTTTTACCTTCGAGGTGGTAATCTTCTCGACTTCCAGCGCATAGTCAAGCAGGGGGGTGGCAGGGAAGTGCTGTTTGACATAATCTTTGAGGATCTGCACTCGCATGTCTGGGTTGTTTATCTAGAAAGTGACCCAAAGTTACAGAGGAACCCACCCTGACACTGCCATTAAGAGACCTGTTGGGGGCGCCTGGGTGGCTCAGTCAGTTAAGCGTCCCACTCTTGGTTTCAGGTCGTGATCTCGCTCAGGTCGTGATCTCACGGATCATGGGTTCAAGGCCCGCACTGGGCTCCGCACTGACAGTGCAGAGCCTGCTTCAGATTCTCGCTCTCTCTCTCTCTCTGCTCCTCCCACATACTCTCTCAAAATAAATAAATAAACTTAAAAAAAAAAAAAAAAAAAGACATGTTTGTGCTCCTGCCACCAATGGACACAAATGTTTATATTTTATCCAGGAGGTGTGTTTTAGGGACCTGATCCATGTGTCTTGATTCCATGCAGCACAGATTATGACCCTGCTGTAGGGCTTAAGGTTTCTAAAGTCCTCTTGAATCTCACTTGAGCCTCAAAACAAACTGTAGGTTCGCCCTTTTATGTTACAGACAAGGAACTGAGACCTGGAGATGTTAACTGAGTTCAACAACAGGCCTCGGTTTAAGCAGCAGGGGGCTCGGGGCTCACCTACTCTCCAACCAAAAGTCTTAGGTTCTAGCCACGAACCATGCCGCCCAAGAGTTCAGTGGCCCCGGCGTCCTCCAGCTGTAACAAAGTTCTACAGAGTTCTTAGTTTTTAGACTGGCAAGCACTTGTTGACGTGGGGCAGCAAAGCACCCCTGAAATCTCAAGAAAAGCTCTGCATCTGCACCATCTGCTAAGAGACCCACACTAAACCATAATCGGTCAGTGGGGCAGGGAAGTGGTTCAGATGCCAGGCAACTCCCAACACCCAGTTCCCAAGCAGATAGCACTGCTCCAGTCCACGGCACAGGGCCTCTTTCAGACAGAACATCACACTTATACTGCCACGCTCAGGCTTCTACGTTCCTTCCTTTCTGGAGTCCATACTGACGTGGTTCTAATGGAAAGCTGTTTAAAGGCATTCTGCATTATAACGGAAAAACAGCTGCCTGATCTTTGACATCTGTCAACACAGCCAAAGCTTTGCACATTGAGAGTCAAGGGCCTGGGTGTTCCCCACTAAAATAATGCCTCCACCTGCATGCAGGTCAGTCCTTAAGGAGAGCCACGACTTACCGATTTCACTCGGTGACCAATGCCCATAATCAGCTTTCCTTCCTTCTTCATCTTGTTCACAAACTCCATGGGGATAATGCCGCTGTCAAAGGCTTTGCTGAACATCTTGGCGGCTGCATCCAGGGCACCCCCAAACCGGTCCCCCTGTAGGACAAGCAAGCCCACATGCCCTGAGCTGGAAGAGACTCCCTCAGCTTCGCAGACCAATCCAGCATGCCCTGAACCACCCCAGCACAGGGTTTGACACTCTGAGGCTCCTTCTAGGACCCCGTGACAGCCAAGTGCGTGTCAGCATAACCATGTGTCCCCTACGGATCTCACCTCCCGGGAGGCCAGTACTCACAATAGTGAGCAGCCCCGAGGTGAGGCTGGAAACCAGGTCCTTCCCAGCCCGAGCACAGATGATGGTGTTGTGAGCCCCAGACACGGCTGGCCCGTGATCCGCCGTCACCATCAGGCACATCTCAATGAACTGGCAGGCATACTTGGGCAACCTAGAGGGGGAGGAAAGGGGCACTAAGATGAGGGTTGGAACAGAGGCGAGCTGCTGAACAGGAGCTACGCTGGCCCACAAAGCCAAGCACCTGCTGGCTCCCATGTCTACTACTATATCAAGCAACTCTAGAGGCAAAAACCTCCAATTCTTGAGCAGCTCCTAACTCACTGATAGCAAATACTGCTTTTAATACAGAGTTAGCCACTGGGGGTTGACAATCTCTTCTTTAGACAATGGCTTCCAGCATGAGTCGTTGCAACAGAATTTAACCTGTACTTGTGACTTCCTTCTACGTGCCATATGGAGAAGTGAGACTCCTGTCCCTTTCCCAGTGTAGTAAGCCCCAGGTCTCCTGCAGTGTTCAACCTCTCAACTGATGATTAGGAATGAAGTCTGGGGGCGCCTAGGTGGCTCAGTTGGTTAAGTGTCCGACTTTGGCTCAAGTCATGATCTTACAATTCGTGGGTTCGAGCCCCACGTCGGGCTCTGCACTGACGGCTCAGAGCCTGAAGCCTGCTTTCTGTGTCTCTGTCTCTGCCCCTCCCCCCCCATGAAGAAACACTTAAAAATTAAAAAAAAAAAAAAAATGAAGTCTGGAGATATAGGGATGCAAGAACAGACAGGGAAATCTGCAGAGGTGTTACAACACCATGAACTTCTCCCAGGAAGGGCCCAAAACTGGGCCAAGAACTATCTCTGCAGCTGAGGGCATGACACAAACCAAGACATTGGGCAGAGCCCAAGGCCACCCCAAGCCAGGGCTCTGTGAATTAAGTATTATTCACTGGCCCCCTTGCCCAGCTGTCAGTCCCAGGGGAGGGCTATGTTTGGGAGTTGCAGAGAAACCAATTTATTCAAACACTCAGGCTGATAAGAGAGACAACCTAATATATAAGGTACTTCATGCCTATTTAGCAACTCTATCAGGCCTGCACTCTGAGCTACCAGACCCATCCAGACCTCTCTCAAGAGGCCTACATTTACTCTTATTTCTTTAAGAGCGCCAAGGACAGGGGCTGATCCAAGATCCCTGATGAGGTCACTGCTTTCTACTTAGTTGAGACTGGCCTTTCTGTCCTTGGAAGACCCAGGAACAGCCAGTATCTCTTCTGGCCTTGCAACTGATCTGTGGCCATAAAGATTAGTTCTGGACGTATTCCCCAAGGCTACCCAGCCCCCACTCCCTTTTCAGGGGAAAATCCTTAACTCTGAGTCAAAGATGGCAGTGTCCAGCCATCTTCTGACCTCCATGCCTCACCTTCTCTGGAACCAGAGGAGGCCAAGGACCCCGCCAATGCCCATCTCTTCCTTGAAGACCTCGGTGATGGGCATGCCCGCGTAGATGAGCTCCTGTCCTCGCTCGTCACAGATGCTGGTCATGAATGAGGCAGGTTTGCGGATCAAGCCCAGCTCCTGAGCAAAGATGGGGGCAGGGGGAAGCAGCACGAAATGACCACAGAGATTCTTCCAGGACTGCCTCACTGTCTGCACTGCCAGAACCAAAGTGTTCCAGGTACCGACGCTCAAACTCCTCCCAAGAAAGAAGCACAAAAACCCTTTCGTTGTATCATTTCAGTCGTAGAAAATAGGAGTGCCATGCGCGATTTCCACCCACAGGTTCATTTTCGCCTCACAAAGATGTCCCAGCAGAAGCCAACCCAAACTCACCCGGCTTAGAAATGCAAGAATGAATCTGAAGGGAAATTTTTCTAGCACTCCAGGTTCAATTGCCAAGCCCCCACCAAAACGTAATGAGCAGGGGGCTGTGCAAATAGGGGATTCCCTCAAGATGTCCTTCACCCAGGGGAAGGGACTGAGCTGAACTTCCAGCTTCCAGAGTTGGGGTACAATGGGGACATTGTTGCCAACTCTGCATAAGCCCATTTCTCCAATTATCCCTGATCAATTTTCATTGTAAAATGCCTTTCTGCCTTAGTGTTTGTCAGTTTAAGGGCCATCTGTCTGGCCTTTCTCCACTTTTATCTATATATAGACACATGGAGAATACATAAAGTGTTTTTGTGTACACAGGTTTTCATAATCGTGATATACTATCTCATAATACTCCCATTTACTCAATGAATTTGAGCTCCATAAATGTAGGCACATACATAGGTCTGGTTCATTCCTTTTAACTGCTGTATGATATCCTATCCTATGGCAAAACCACAAGTTAGCCGTTCTTCCGCTGATAACCATCAGGTGGAAAAATCTTGAACACATTTGTGTGAATGTGCGAGCACTTCCCTGAAATAGCTTTCTAGACAGGAATTACGCCATCAGCTGTGAGCACTTCTTTTCTTTTCTTTTCTCTTTTCTTTTTTTAGTAATCTCTACACCCAACCCGGGGCTTGAACTCACAAGCATCAGATCAAGAGCCGCACACTCCACCAACAGATACAGCCAGGCACCCCAGGTGCCAGCGCTCTGAAATCTGCTATTACCCAATGGCCTTTCAGAAAGGGTGGTGCCAAGTTCCACACCCACCTTCAAGGAACAGACGCACAAAGTTCCTCACACCCATACAAACACAACATGTTATCAAAGAACTGTTTTCTTTGTTGACCTCAAAAGGGGAAAACTGGTATCACGGCTTTTACTTTGGCACCTTCTTACAATGAGTGAGACTGAGCATTTTTTCAAGTTGAAAGGCCATTTCCTACCCATTTTTGTAGTGGTCTTTTATTTTTTTTTTTTTTTAAATTTTTCAACGTTTTTATTTATTTTTG